GAAGGATGTGAAGGTCCTTGAATGCATCCAGAGGAGGGCAGGAAAGCTGGTGACAGGGCTGGAAGGCACGTCCTGTGAGGAGCCCCTAAGGACTTTGGGCTTGTCTAGTTTGGAGAAAAGAGGGCTGAGGGGTGACCTCATTGCTCTCTACAGCTTCCTGGGGAGGGGACATGGAGAGGGATGTGCTGATCTCTTCTCCCTGGGATCCAGGGACAGGACGCGTGGGAATGGTTCAAAGCTGCCCCAGGGGCGGTGTAGAACGGGCATTATACCGAGAGGGTGGTCAAACACTGGAACAGGCTTCCTAGAGGTGGTCAATGCCCCATGCCTGTCAGTGTTTAAGAGACATTTGGGCAATACTCTTAATAATATGCTTTAACTTTTGGTCAGCCCTGAATTGGTCAGGCAGTTGGACTAGGTGATTGTTGTAGGTCTCTTCCAACTGAAATAGTCTCTTCTGTTCTATTCTCTTAATTGCTTTATCTGTCATTAGTTGATATCCTGAATTTAATAGAAGGGTCTCAATATAGCTTAAATGGATTTGATTCTTTGTTAGTTTGCATTTTGGGGATATAACTGGATCCACTTGTAGGAGTGCAAATCAGGAGCGATTTCACTGAAGTCCCTGGCAAAATCTGAGTGATATCTTAATGAGATTCCGTGCATAAAAAGAACAAATTCAATTCCTTGCTCAAAAAGTCTTCATACTGTCTTCACATGGGGTGTGAATGTCTCAGTGTTTTTATTGTTATGTTAGATACAGATATATACAATTGCATCAATACATGCTGTATACAAACAGTGTGTTCTCTGTGTATTTGCTCTTAGTGCAATAGCATCAATCTTACGAGCCTGGCTCGATCAATGCTCTGAGGATTTCAGAGAGCCGCCCGACTACCCATGTTTGCTGAAGTTGCTGGATTACCTGAAGAGGAATATACCTGGCTCTGACCCAGAGAGGAGGGCACAGAATATCTTGGAGCAGTTCCAGAACCAAGAAGTGGAAAATGATGGTAAGTTACCTTTCCCTTCTGTCTTTCTGTTCTCCCAGACTGTATGGTACTGCAGGGTTTTATGTGGAGTACATTTCATCAACTCTCATGCTAATTGACAATATTGTGAGGCTCACCAGTGACTTCTTTCTTTGTTTTTTTTAAAAACAAATCTCTGTATGAGGCTGCAGGTTCTGTGCGGGATGAAATAGTCATACAGTGTAGGTGCCTATGCCTATTCATTCTGGGGTGTATTGGGAAATCCAGAGCTTTTCTAATACTTAGTCAAAGCTTTGAGATTGCTGCAGCAGGTAAGTGGTTAATTGTCAGCACAATTCCCATGTCATTGAATTAAAACACACAGCTGCTCTTTAGCTGTTCTTCTCATTTCAACCTCCCTTCCCCACCAAGAAAAGCCCAAATGAACAAAAAGCAAAATACAGAGCTGCGACAAAATACAGCTTGAGTCACAAGCCTTGTTGTCATGAAGCTTTTCTTCCTAGTTACCATCATGTCAAAGGAAGTGTCTGTGGCTGTTTTTTCCTATTTGAGTGGCTGGCTGCTGGTATCCAAGGACAGAGGAAAAACTTACGTTATTGGGGGTCACAATCTACTGAAACAATAGTGAACTGTAGTAACACAAATATGCTGTGTGCAGCGTCAAGCCTGACACATACCCTCATCCTGGTCAGAAAGCTTCCTGTGGCATAAGCTGAAAAGTCGTAGGAGCTCATGTGGTGTGTGAATGAGAACTAGAATCAACTTCCAGCTTTGGTAGAGGGGTGAGAGGGAATAATTCATGTAATAAAGGATAAAGGAAATGACAGAAAAAAAAACATTTCATCCCATAAAAATCATGTCTGCCGGATGTTCCAGAAATACCATGTCAATGCATAATACTGTGAAATGCCAAATTAACTCGGTCATTAACACACACATAAAAAGGAGTACTGCACAGAGACCAGGCATTTTCCATATTCAACACAGGTAACTGAACAGCATTGCTAATATGTGCCTATTGATGTCCTTTCCTGGGTTTGGTTCCCACAGGTCAAACAAAGAAGGCTCATGAGAGCTATATTTGGGTTCATCTGTTGTTCAAAGTGAACAGAAGTTCCCAGCAGCCCTGCTTTTGCATTTGTTTTCTCAAGTAACGGTTGAAAAGGTTCTTTTCTGAGTTATAGATGGGTCAACTTGAATGATAACGTTTTCCAAATTTTTGCAGAATAGAGGCTGTTAATTAGAATAAAATTAGAGGAGGAGAATGCAATTAACATGCAGGGCCTGCAGAGAAGAGTTTTAGGGTTGTCACTTTATCAGAGCTCCATGTTTGTTCATTTCAGAGATTTCTTTCAAAACACTGAGTGTGTTGTCTGCAATCAAGACTTGCTGATAATTGTTGTTCTAAAGCATTCATATTGTGCTATGAATTTACAAATTTGGGTCCTAATCCTACAATTTGATTTGTGTAATCAGACCTCCATTCAGCGCTGCCATCAGCCATGCCAGAGGATTAGATTGCAATACCAGATACATAGATAAAAGCTCTTCCCCAGCCTTAGTGTTTGCAGGTTGAGCAATACAAAGCAAAGTGAGTCAGAGACTGCAAATTCAGAAGGGGCGTGTGTTTACTCTCAGGGAAGTCAAGAGGGCAGTTGGGCTTTGAGATAGCTAAATGGATCAGAGTGATTTGAAGATGATGAGATACTTGAGTACAAGAGGATTCCAGGTTCTTGGGGAGTAGGGAGAAGACTGGTTACACATTTATAAAGGTGAGAGAGAAAGCAGAAAAAGAGGCATGAAAAAAGAAAAGGAAAATCTTGCGTTGCACTCCAAGACCTGACTTTAAGGGCACTATGAGGTTTTGAGTAGGGTTGCAACTCCGTGATGTGGATTTTCAGTTGAATTTCAAGAACTGAAAGGAAAATGAGGAGTTACACAGCCAAAAAGAGAGAAAAAAGTGTGACTTTTTTCAGTTCAATAGAACTGAAGTTCAGTAGAAGTCCATTTAATTATGTATATTATTACAAAACAGCCACAGAAAAATGATGCTGGAACAGAGGTTTCCATTTATCGCAATTAGCTCTGTCAATAAATTGTGCAACTGGAATGTACAGATGGAAATCTGATACATCCTGTAGTTATAATTTGTTACATCAAAACTGTACCAGTTTACACTGATGATTAGGTTTTGCTAATTCATGAAGAAAGGAAAAATTAAATACTTAGAAAAACAACAATGAAGTATCACTTTATCTGCTTTTGTTGCTTTAACATCTGTTCTGCTTTAATTGGATATGAAGTGTATTGCATAACATACTCTGAAATGCACTGCTTGTTTTTGTTAATGAAATCTCGCTAGTAGTAAACTCAGTACTTTCGTTGTTAGTCTTCAACAAGTCCATTTTTTTTTTTATCCCTTCTTTTGGAGTTACTGTCGCCTTACAGTAAAAGGGATTAGGAAGAGGATTTATTTTCAGGGATTTTCTGTTTGACTTCCTCTACCATGGGAAACAAGGGCATATTTCTTTGTGTTTTAATGTGGCTTTGTTCCCAACCTGTGGGAGCCAAAAGGTGACATGGGAACATCTGTGAAATACCTTCCCTTCTGCACTAGATCGGGTTCCTTGATGAGGATGGCTCTCCTCTCTCACCTCTTCAATGCTCCCCACTGCAAATTTAGAAGCATTCAGCTGAATGCTGTAGGTGCTCACTGTATTCCCTTTTCTGGGAAAAATTCCCAGAGAGGGAAGGTGAGGGATGCTGGAATAAACTCTCTTCAGTATAGTCCATGTAGCCCTGTGAAGGCAGAAATGATGCCAAGAAAATACGGTATCTCCTTTTATTTCCACACATGGGAGATGAAATCTGGATATAAGAGCATTCCTAATGCAATATTTTGGGGATATAACTACAGTCTTGTCCCTTTGCAGTTTGATTATTTTTTTTTTTCACATTATATAATGCATAAATACTGAAAAGTAGATTAACAAAATTCGGCAATGTTAATACGGAAATTTTGTTTGGGTGGTGATGGTTTTTTTTTTCAGAAGAATGGTTAACCAATGGGTTAAGCCACTTCTCATCTAAGAGACCCTGAACAGCTCAATTCTCTCTAACTCTATTTCTTTTTCTTCCACTTCTTTTTTGCCAATTTAATCTTCTGCTTGTCATCTTTCTCACTAAATTATGCAGCACAGTGGGGACATTACATCAGGCAGGACCCTTTGGGCATTCTGCTCTTATATATACAGTGATGTTTTAAAATAAACAAACATCTGCTTTGATTCACTGTTTGCTACATAAACTTACTAAGTTGTGTTTTCCATCCCGGACAGATGGGTTCCATAACACTTCCCCCTGTAACCTATATGATGAAGAGGAACTGGAGATCAGCAGTCCAGAAGAATTCTCTTTTTTCCAGGAAGACCTTGTGGCAGAACAGTTGACATACATGGATGCAGTATGTAGAGTATATGTACTACTTGAAATGCTAGGCAAAATAGTGCTGGGCTTCTAAAATTTTTTTAAGTTATGTCAATGTAAGTAGAGTGTTCCAGAACAGGTCTGTTGTTGGGACACAGAACACAGCTCTGCTTGGTTATTCAGCCTTGCTTTGTTCATTGGACTTTTGCCTTCAGTCAGTCTGAAGTTTGGGGTTTTTTTGTTTGTTTGTTTGTTTTTAAGTGTGTATGTATACTGTGTAGCCCTTTTTTGCAAAGTTTAATATTTGACACCTGAGAAATAGCACATTTTTACTATATTGCTACCTGGCCTAAAGATGTATAGGTACTCTTAACTGTAGTGCTCCGATTTGGTTTGTCTGTATCAATCTCCTTCAAAATATCATTATATAAAAAATTTTCTCCTTGGTTATGCAACTTATACAAAGGTGTCTCTTGTTTACCCAGGACTATTTAGCTGACAGTTCTTTTAGGGCATCAAGCCTATAAAGAGTATGCCAAAGCATGTATTTTAAAATAAGAGAAAACAAATATTTACCTTTTAATACCATATTAGATTTAGATCCAATTTGTACTGTAAACATGCATTTCTTCTTGTGGACAATAGAGATTTAGGACAATCTTGCTGACTTACACACCTCTATTTCACTCTAGAAACTCTTCAAGAAAGTTGTGCCCTACCACTGTTTGGGATGCATCTGGTCTCGAAGGGATAAGAAAGAAAACAAGCACGTGGCACCTACCATCAGAGCCACCATCTCTCAGTTCAATGCAGTTACCAAATGTGTTGTCAGCACTATCCTGAAGAGCAAAGAACTCAAAACACAGCAAAGAGCCAAGATCATTGAGAAGTGGATTCATATTGCACATGTAAAGCATTTATTCTAGACTGTTTAATGTTTCTTGTGTGGGTGCCTTGGAGTGAGGGAGTTGGGAGGGGAGAAAGGGGTTGTATGCATTGGTCCCAGGCCAGTGAACATCTTAGCTCTAATTCTTTCTATTTTTGGCTGACTTTCTTTGTAACAGCAAATGAAGTATTGCCCTTCCTCTCCTTAGCTCTTCCCCACCATGGAAATGGGGTTGATGCTTGTCTCTTCACGGGGTTGGGAGTGCTAATTAACTGGTGAGGCAGATACTGTGTCTTGCGGCTGGGGAGTGCCATATACTTGATAATGTAACATTTATGGTAAGATAGGTGTACATTCAGCCAGTTCACTTCCCTAGGAAGAAAATACTGCTCATATCAGTGAAAGAAGTGAAGTGATGTTTGATATGATCCAAAGGTTAAGCTTGTTTTCAGAGGAAAGGGTAACAAGAATGGAGAGGGACTGACAGTGGTGCAGGCAGCAGACACAGTCAGAATAAGCTTTGTGCTTACCTGCCTTTGGCTGTTCATGTTCAGTCAGTGAGTGTCATGCTCCCTCTCCTGTGCCTATGAACACCATGAGAGTTGAAATCAGATATGGTGGAAGACAGCACAACTGTTTGTGTTTTCATACATTTTTACATATGTGCGTGTATATATGAAAGTAAAGTAAATACAAGGTTTTAAGTAAGTGCAGACAAAGCTAACTTACTTCTAGGAAGCAGTAGCTTCTTTAACATGGAAAAAATGAAATTATTGTTTGTACTTTTTTGTTTTGAAAGATTCTTGAATCTGAAAAGTCATTTGCCTACTGAGTTATTCACAGTTTACATCAGGTATAAAAACCAGCTGGGTTTAGAGGGGGTGAGAGGTGCAAGCATTGACCAGAAAAAATAAGTAAAGTTACAATATGGTACCAGTCCCCTCATCTTCTTACCTTTCTGCTTTATCTTTGTCTTACATGTTTCTCTAACCCATTTTTACTCTATGCTTCAGTTCCTGTGTCTTGTAGCAGATTGTGTGTTTCTTAATCTTTGCGCAAAAAGGTTTTGCATGCCTTCTTTACGTAACTCTAGTTTGCTAATTTCTTAGATTTTTATCTTTAATATTTTACTGTAACCTTTTCAACTCCCCTCAGAGCACTGGGCAGCTGGCAGTAAACTAGATCTCTCTTTGAAGAGAACATTTAAAGCACTTTCATATGGATGTGTGTTGATTTTTGTTTTAAGAATCACATGGATTCTTTCCGAGCTATACAAAATAAGCAATCATAAAAAGCTCAAGCCAAACAGAGGCTTTCCAACCTTGACAATGCACTTCTATGCTTCCAGAGGCAGTATTGTTAGTCCTGGCACCTAAGCTCTGGCAACTGCATGGTTCAGGAAACTGGTATGGGGAAGTAGTCTTCCACCTCTCTTTTGGCACTTATGTTGACTCAATTTTGTTATCATCTGATGGCTGCTTTATAGCCCGTATGAATGGATGAGGAAGTTTGATTCTTATTTTCTGTGTGCAGATATTTAAGTTGCAGAGGGTCCTTAAGTTGCTAAAGGGGCCTTTATGGGGCAGACTGGGCTGCAGCCTGGACGAACAAGTATGAAGCAGCTTCCTGCTCATCACAGGGCAGCAGGACAGCCAGGACAGGCACCATGCCCATCATACTGGTTCTGTGGATGGAGAATATTGTTCTCCACCTCTGTTGATTCAGTACTTCTCCCTTTACTTAATTCATACACATAATTAAATACTCCAGTCTTAGCTAAGCACATGAAAAATGCATGTGCATGCTCTACAAAATAATTGCACATGTAGAACAGCTAGTTGCATATACACTTAGCTGCCTACTTCTGAAGAAAGTTGCTTGCTTTGTGCATACAAATGAGTGTTTTGAATAGTTAGATGCCTGAATTAGAAAACAGTCCACTCATTAAAGTGCACTTATTCACTGACAACTAACTCTGTAACTTAGCAGCATGGAGTTCCGTGTTTGTTATCTGTTCGTGACTTTTGGATCCAGTTTCTTGGAATACTTTTTCTAACTGCCAGTCCTCTCTGCTCCACCTAGATCTAAAGTTCCTGAGCAGGAGCAGCCAATTTCACTCACACAATATTTTCTTTAAAAATAAAAAGTAAAAACGAAATCATTAATATCCTGTTATGCTTAATTTTTTAAAATCAGAGTTGCTTCTGCACAGGATTCTTTCTGGTTTTCCCCTTGTGAAGGACACAGCATGAAACAGTTATTCAAACCAGTCTTAAAAATTCTTCTTATATACAAATGAAAGCTTGCTAAAGTTTAGTCTGCAGTCAGTTAAAACATTGAGAACACAAAATCCAATACTGATTTCCTGATGTGCTTTAAATTATGCAACGTGCAATTAAATCATGATGGTTCTAAATTGGATCTTCCAGTCCAAACTCCTGTTGTATTTGAAAAAAAAGAGAAATGCTAAGAGTTTGTGCCTCTAAATGTATGTTCTCCCCAGCCTGAATTTCAAGTTGAACATAAAGAAAGATGGATCTCCTTCTCAAATGTGTCAGTTTCTGAAGAAGAGCAGTTATGTGGATTCTTTGGCCCCAAACCATGCAAAAATAGCTTTCAGGTCTTGTGTGTCCTACCACATGATCTTGAACTTGGGTCTTTATCTAGCGTAACTGCCAGCCTGTTTCAAGTGCTGTCTGGCCAGTCAATCTTCTTAAGCCACACTTTGTTAAATGTAGCCTCCTCAGTTGCACAAAGATTTTTTTTTTTTTTTAAGGTAAATAAATGGGAGTAAATATACTTCCCTTTGTTGTTCAGTCAATTTTAATGCAACTCATGAATGGAGTTGCTGATGTATTAAGATCTGACTTTTGTTTATGCTAAGGTTGCTTTACATTTGTTCAGTCCTACAAAGGAAATAAATTATGTCTATTTTCACTGTAAGGATCCTTTACATAATCAGCATTATTGGCATAATAGCCCCATAAAAATTTGCAGAAGTGGAATTGTAGTTTGAATACTTTCTCATCTACATGCAACAGTCAAATTGGCATGTGTTTTGTCTGTTTAATTTGTGTGTACAGGCACCTGTTTGTGAGAGATTGTATTTCCAAGAGTTTCTTAAGTCTCTGGTGCCTGTGCTCTGGTTCATGAGCCACCGACAGACTTACAGGAAGGAGTTCCTTGAAGAGTCACAGGCCAGACTTCCCCGCCCCCCTCCCCTTGCTTCCATCTGCTTTACCAGGAATCTGTGCTATTTTTTTGAGAATTAAGTTTGTCAGTATCCTTTTCCATCAAAGCTTTTGACACAGAGAAGCTGCATAAGAAATGTCTCTGAACCAGTCTCTCTGTTAGGATTTGATCCCAACTCTGGAAAAGCTGGGGAGGTTTTTCTCTTTAACAGTGTTGCACATACTTGAGTAACAGGTTATTCCTTTGCATGTCTTTATTTTTAATTGACACTTAGATGATTGAGGGTTTACATTTTAAATACCACATACAAAGAGGCAAAGCCTGGTTTTTCCCCTAAAGGGTAAAAGGGATTGGTAATTATAAAGAGCTTGTTAAGAAGTGTAACATTTGTGCTTTTTAGCCTGGCTTCATGGACGCGGTTCCACTTTTATTTTTACTAGGAGAACTGGAAGCTGTAGCACTGCAACATCACCACAAATACATGAAAGTGAGGAAAACAAAATATAAGTGCCAAAGCCTGTAAAGTGTTTGGTGGCTGGAGGGGGGAGTGATATTTTTGATGCTCAATATTTATACAGCTGCCTGCTTAGCAGTGAGAATGCGTAGCAAGCATGACACTGGTCAAACAGAAGAGCACTAACGTATTCGTAATGCTGACATTTAATGCTCCTGTATTTCTAACCGCTCCTTTCACAGGAATGTAGGATCCTGAAGAATTTTTCCTCGTTGAGGGCCATCATTTCAGCACTGCAGTCCCACTCCATCTATCGGCTAAAGAAGACCTGGACATGTGTTCCAAAGTAAGCTTCCCCCTCCACTCCTGTGGCTAGCCCTAAACAAAGCCAAAAAGCTCAGTGCTCTTTCTTTTCATCTTGTTCTTCTCAGTCTTCCTATTTTGCTCCTTCATGGACACCTGTTGTCTTAGAAGAACCTCTCATTCCTGTGAGGCTTAGACCTGGTTTTTGGGTCTGACTGCTGTGAGCTCCTCTTTCATACTGAGGGGACAATCTGCCCTCAGCGATACCGGGTCTCTTCTGTCCTTTATAGCATATTAGATCTTCCAGAGCCTGTTTTGAAAAACTATGGGACTAGTTACCCAGCTCATGCAAACTGCTCTCAGGAGGTCAGCAAAAGGGCACCGTGATACTTGCCTGTTGTCTTTTCTCCTATGAAGTTGGAGGAGGTCCAGGTTGTTACAAACCCTCACTAATCCTTTCCTGGTCCTGACATTTCCTTAAAATATATCCCCATACTACAAAATCCAAACATGTATTGAAGACAATATTTCTTACAGGGGAATACCTTTTTGTGCAACTGGCATATATACTGAATGCCAGACACATCTCTCTGTAGAAAAGATGGTGTTCTGCTCATTCAGTTTGGGAAGAATAGATTTCTTGCCTTTGCCTTTGATTAACAAAGAAAAATGTCACTCTGCCACGCAGTATACCTCTGCATTTCCCCTAGAGAGAGGTGGGTCTTTCCTTCTGCTGCCCCACATTCCTGTTCCTGATCAAAATATTGCCATCTTGTGTTTACAGCATTGGGTAATAGAAAGGGACTTCAACACTTCTAGCTTTCCAGAGTGCACGGAATGGCAAAAATTAAGTACTTAGGATACATCTCACAGCTATTTTTCTGTGCCTTTGTATCTATTTACCCACTTCCTTACAACAATCTCACCTTGCAGTGTGATTGAAAACCCTGCTCAGGATCTGCATACCTATGGCATTTCTTTGTGATGCTGTCAAATAAGGCCTGACTTTACTGGGATCACCAGAAAATCCCAGGAAGGTTCCTAGTAGATGTGCAGCATCTCATTGGATACATTTTGGTGGTGTTACCTTTTATGTGCCTAACTGTTAACGATTTATGAGAAAAAAAGCTGAATAGTAATCTGATCTGATTTAGAGTGCTTACTGATAACCTAAATGATTTAACCTTTTCCTGTACAGGGATGTAATGCTGATGTTTGAAGAGCTGTCTGATATCTTCTCAGACCATGACAATTATTTGACAACTAGAGAGCTGCTAATGAAGGTGAGAATTAGCCTGAGTTGCAAGGCTTGTGATCTCAAAGCTGAGGTTAGCCCTTTTTCTAACCAGCTGCCAAAGCTCATCTCTCCCTGAACTACTGCATGTAGTGCTTCAAGGAAGACAGGTCTGTAAAACCTGTGCTTTTCTGCTGGGCTGAGAGGTGATTTCAGTGTTCCTAAAGGAACCTACACTAGCCTGTTGAGCTTGGATACCCACAAACAGCAGGCTGCAGCAGCACAGATTGTGTGTGGACTTGTTGACAAGATAGCAGGTCAGAACTGCTTGGAGCCCCTCAAGTTGAATGTCATGCTGCTGTAGTTAGGTAACTGGTAATGCTCCCTGCGGCATGGTGATGTCTAGCTCAAGAATAGCTGTGTGCGCCGTATCATCCCTGTGATAGCGCTGGAGCCACAACCAGAGTGAAGAGGTGCCGCAGTGTAATTTTACTAAGACGAGTTACAAATTAGCACTTTGGCTTTATACTGCTCTGTATAGAGATGAACCACAAACTTGTGCATCCTCTGAGCAGACCTGGAAAGGCTCAGGTTTGCGCTGGTGAGTGCAGAGCAGCTCCAAACGAGATTCTCAGCTGGGTTGCGCCACTGTAGTGCTTTTGACTTCACTGGAACAATGCCGCTTAGCTTCAGCTGAGGAATTAAACCAAGATGTTTATCCAGCTATCCTGTACCTTTCTTGGAACTAGAAAACAGGGCTGGGAATTTCAAAGCAACAGGCTTCCTGCTCCGTGTGTGGCCAGATGGACAATAAAGTAGGCTCTGTCTGAAACAGTTTGACTTGTGCACTGTCCTGGGCAAACGCAACAAGCTCAGGAGCTTGAAAGGAGTGATGAAGAATAGAGGGGAAGGTTATATTCTGTAGAAACTAAGGAATGTTTGTGGCAGTTCTATCCACTTTATCTGGCGTTTGTACCTTACCCCTTTGCCTTGGTGTCCGAAACACTGCATTTTGCTCAGGAATGATGGGTGATCACATTCAAACCTCTCTGTTTTTTTAATCATCCATTTATCAACATCTGTAGCTAAATTTTAAAGCAGGTGAGACAATAACAAGTGTAGAGGGAAAATGTACGTTCAGAATAGCTTATTTAACTAAATATTAAAAACACAAAACAACAACTCAATCCAAGCCCAGACCTTCTGGCTCCCAACAAATCACTCTCTCCAGCTGCTGTAAGTAGATTTGCAAAACATTTTGAAAGCAGTGAGAGGAGAAAAATTCCACAGAATAGCTAGAACCTCTCTCCTGCTTCTCATCTTGGACCATTTTGTAATGATTGGAGGATTAAGGCCCACTGAATCCTTAAAGTCTTTGTTCTCTTTCACTATAAATAGTCTCTCTAGGGAAGCCGTGTTTGACCTTGCCTATCCATCCTGCAAATTTAAGTGTAGAGCAGACAAAATGCCATATGAAACAGGTTGGCTGGCATGGAGAGGAAGCACTGTGTTCTCTCCTCCCGAAACAACGGCTCTGCTGTGAGCTGCAGTCTTAGCTTCTGTGCCTGTGTGCCGGCTGCTGTTAGAGAATATCGAGCTTACCTTTCAGTATCTTGAAGACATTAAGGCAACGCTTCTTTTTCATTTGCTCCTGTTTTTCAGCCAAGGAAGGAAATACAGAGTTTGAGTGATCTGTCCATTAACTGTGACTGATAGAAGTAAACATTGTAATGAGAGGATCTTTACAAGTGCAGGCTGTTGTTTTGTGCCTCTTAAAAAGACATTGATAATGATTCATAACCCACCTATCTGGCCACTGGAAAAAGTAACAGTAACTCCCAGCATCCCGTATGGATCCAGTGAAATAAAGGCTACAGATCTATTGTGAAATAGCTCATCCATTCATAGGAAAGCTTGAATTATGGAGATGAAAACCTATTACTTCCATTTCCTGTGTGGTTTTGGATTAGTCAGTAAACCACAGAGGGTAGTTGCTGGATCTCTATGTTGCAGCATAAGAAAAAAACACAAAGCATTACATAAGATAGAGATGTTTACTTGTAGCAGTCCTGATTAGGAAATTAAACAGAAATTCTGAGGTTAAGAGTGTCAGGATAGGGTTCAGAGAAGCACCTGGACACCTAGAGTATATCTAAGCTTCTCTGATTTAATGTCTCAGAAGATTTGCAGCAGCACTTAGCTTTGGCTGGAGTAGAGCTATTTTGCAGAAAAATTCCCTTATGGTCATCTTGTGGGATTTTGTCCGAAATTCCCAATCAGTGTATGAGTCCCAGAAAATTAGCACGTGTATGTATACATGCATGTACCTGCACATCAAATATTTTTGCTGGCTTAGCTTGCCTGGTTAAATGTATTTGCAATTATTTTACATAAACATAGTAGCCAGCTTACCACTTAGCTCCTCCATCAATTGCCTTTTAATTCACTTACAGGAAGGAACATCCAAATTTGCGAATCTGGACAGCAGTGTGAAAGAAAATCAGAAAAGGACCCAGAGGCGACTGCAACTTCAAAAAGATATGGTGCGTCTGGGGTCCTTTTCCTATCCTTTTTGCACTGGTAACATGATTAACCCTAACTGGTGAATTATATAAGAAAAAAAATCTAGAAAGGTATTTAACAAAGCAAGTGTGCAGTAGGTAATGCTCTTGAATATGCCCTCTGTCAAGCAAAACAGTCACATCAGTGCTATTGATTAGCTGATACAAAGCAAGCGAACTGAAAGATTTAGACTGAATATGCAGTCAGACTGTTTGTCCCTGTAAATACATGCCCAAAGCTGTATTTCCCTTATGCTGTGGATCATAGTAATACTATGTGTGTGTATATGTGTGCATATACAGAGAGTCCCACATGTGCATGTATCTGTATATATAAACAGTTACAAAGTGGGACTCGTGCTGCACCCAGCTGAAGCTGTATGGCCTATGCTGAGCTGGCAGCCTGCAACAGCTATGGGTTTTAGTGCAACCCAAAGCTGTCCTTTTACTCCAGTAACACCTGTCTGTGTACTGAAAAGCTGGAGGAAATGGATATGCAAAGCATCAGCCTAGCCAGTGCATTCAGTGATCCAGTGCTGAGAACGCTCAGAGATTTCAGGATTCGGTAGACGTTTGCAGGGGCCATGTTATGTTCCCTGGCACCAATCCTTCCCTGTCCCCTGACAGGGGATAACTGAGTGTATAGGCTTGCTGCTCCCATCCCCACTTGCATTTGCTTCACGTCCTAACCAGCTGTTTGGGATGGACACTGAGCCAAAGGTTTGGCCTTAGTTTCAAGTCTTCCAGAAATTTACAAAAGCTGTCATATAAAAGGGTAATAAATGATTGATGAATGTAAACATGTGTTCATCATTTTCAACTGCCTTGTTTCTGTCCTGCAAGAAAGAATTCCATTAACTACTCTTGTTACCCTTTAGAGAGAAATACGGCGAAAGGCACACAATTTTCATGTAGTAAACTAAGTAATGTAAATACTGGAATTCTTGTGATAAAGAAAATTATCTCTGGCCAGAGCAAAAATCTCATTTACTTTTAAACAAGCTATGAAGCTTCTGACATACCAGCTTGAAAATTGCACAGACTTCTACAGAGATTGCTTTGTAAAATGTGTCCGGTTTCCAGTCTGCTGGTGAAAATGGCTTTTGTCTCAAAGTTGGCAAAGATTAGAAGGACAAGGAGAGAGAAATCTGGGATAGGGAGGCAAAAGTGCTGAATATTATTTTTTTGTTTGTCTTTTAGTTTGACTGGAAAAAGCACAGATTCTTTTGGGTGGCAGAACCAAGCATTTCCTTCACAAGTGTAGAAACAGCCTGAACTCTACAACTGCTAGCAGTCCAGAAAGTTAAAAATTGGAATAATTTTCTATTAAAACACAGTGAATAGCTGGGAAAGATGGTCTCTTCTTGGACTATGATTTGATTTGACTGTCACATGGTATAACAACATTGTTAAGTAAAAATCCACTGGAATGAAGCAGAGAGAGAAACAGCTTACACAGGCTAGCCAAGACCATTCCCAAGCTCTTTCTCTTGTAGCAGGTAACCAAGGGACCCTGTCCCTGGTGCTCAATGCTTCTTCCACAGCAGGGTTTCCTGGTGACCCACTGTTAGAAATCACTGTATGGTGGCAATATTGGAATATAAAATGACTTGGCAGTATCTGTGAGAGCATCCTGCTCTCATTAGAATTTGATTTAAATTCTAGATTAGATACTGAGGATGACGTAATGAAAGAAAACATAATTTATAAGACCACTGGTTAAGCAGACTACTTTCATTTCATTTTCTTATACAGGCGTATTCTAGCATTCTAATTATTACCATTTCTCAGTTAATTAATCCAACATTGCTCTGATTGTTTGCAGGGAGTAATGCAAGGCACAGTACCTTATCTTGGTACCTTCCTCACTGATCTCATCATGCTTGACACAGCCCTTCAGGACTATGTTGAGGTAATTTGGGGCAATTTTTTGAATCCTAAATATCCTCCCTGCCTTCCCAGCATTGAGCGTGTCTGTTCCTGTATCTTCTACTGGGTTCTTGTGCTGTTCTTAAAAATGGAAGAATCTGTTTTTTAAAAAAAAAAAAAAGCAGCGATATGTAGTTTTATTAGGAACAAGAATCTTGCATGAGTTTGAGTGCAGTTATCTCAAGGGACAAGCTTAGCATTGTATTTTGCCTTGTTGTCTTAGGTTAGAAAACGTGAAGACAGTAGACTTTCCATTATTCTGGGTTTGTTTTTTTTTTTTCTGAAAACAGCATTTTAGGTGTAAAGATTTCTGTGAATAATTGGTAAAATACACAGAATCACAAATTAATTCTTCAGACTGATCACTGAAGTGCTTCACTATTGACTCAGATGTGCCTGAGCCCTAAAGTGATTAAAGATTTGTTTTTTTCATTTCTCTTTAGCTGAACAAGCAGGGGGAATCAATCTAGCATAGGAAGGGAAAAAGGATTGCAAGAGCGTCTGGTCATTTAACAGAGACTGAGGATGGGGCCAATTTTCAAAGGTTTTCAAACACCTTTGAAAATTGGCCCCATAAATGGAGACACCTGAGGAGCTATGCTGCAGGCACTCAGCCTTCATTGTGCTGGTGTTGGTATTTATGATAAGAATGGGCAAATGCACTTCTCCCTGGGCTGGTAATGGTTGCTGGTTTGTTTGGTTGTTTGTTTTGCAAAACTGCACTAAAGCAGACCTGTGTAAGGTTGCTATATATCCATTTTCTTTTTGGCAGTTTCCCTTCTGTCCATGCTTTGTGTTCAGTTGGTGTTTCTGAAACTCACTAGGAACACTGCTAAACTCACAGCACAGGCAAAAGCCAAGTTTGTTTCTTGCATGCAAAATCCCACTAGCATTCTTCAGACCTCATCTCAATACAGCTTTTATGAGCATTCTTGTATTGGGCTTTTCTTCTTGGGCAGATTGCCATTTAGGCCATGAGGACAGATATCCTTTGGAGACTCGGATATATGAGTGCTGTGGTTTTTACCGGATCTGGAAACAGGTATTTTTAGAAGGTCCTTGCTCAGGGCAGGTCTGTGCTTTTCATTAGTCTTGCTACTTCATCCTGTTTGTGATTAAATTCAACTGAGAATGGGCTCTTCTACTCTGATACCTTCTTTTTCCTTCCAACAGGGTGGCCTGATAAATTTTGAGAAGAGGCGAAAGGTAAGTTGAATATTCTGTGATCTTTAGTTTACTGATGCTCTCCTCTGGAGCATTCTTTTGGTGAGGCCCATTGTCTTTGCTCAGGGATATACAACAGCCACTAATCTAAATGCAAGTTATTTGTACTTGAGGAAAGATCCCTGAAATGCTGTGAGCCTCTGCCAAACTGTGAGGGGTGGCACAGGAAGAGAACCTACTTTTAGATGTGTGCAATAGGGGAAGAGGAGCAGGAGGCCACTTACTTCCATGGAGTTTACATCTGGGGCATGCACATTCCCTCCATTTGGTGTTCATGGGGAATATGTTACATGTGTATGTCCTATGTGTTGAGACTGAATCAGACCTGGTGACATGACACCTTTGCTTTCCAGAAGATACAGTTTGTAAACATCTTCCTTCTGCTGCAGTAAACTGTTTGTAGGTAAAAGGTTGCAGAGAGCAAACTAGGTTCATGGGACAGAAATAAATACTATCAGTCTTTCCTTTCAGCCTGATCCTTGTTGGTCAGAGATAAGTAACTCTATGTAGCAGTAAAGGTACTAGGGTTACATCTGTCTGAATGAAGCTGTGCCAAATCTCTCTTCTGGGGTCTGAAAGCAGACTTGGATTTGGCTGTGATGGAGCCATTTCCTTCCCCTAACTGCTCCCAGCGCTACAAATCACTTATGGACTTACCTTGTATGTATAACTGCATGGCTCAAGATACTAATAATGAGATACATTACCTTCTCCATGGTCATCAGTCCAGCTTCATACAAACCAGTGGCAAAGCTGCCCTCTGAACCATGCTGACTACCCAGGTCCATTCCTGCATCCTGATTCTATAACCTGCTCTAACACAAGGGGGTTTTAAGAATTATTTTGGCAAAGTGTGTATGCAAGTGGCGTTACAGAAGAGCAGCGCATTCTAGTCACATGTATTAAGGGTAGCATTTTATGTTCCTCTGGTGCAAGTGTGAGTGCACAAAGTGCAAAGCTGGGGAGGATCAGACTCTCTGCTTTCATCGCAGGCACCCCTAATTATTACCCTTGCTTGCTGCCTGAGAACCACCTAAGTACAGAGCATGATTCTTCTCCCAGAGCCGGTCTGGCCTGCACAGGGGTGAGCGGGGAGGGTAATCTGAAGAAGTTGTGACCCTTTGCTACCCTTGTTCCCAGAGGACAGCAGTGCTGTCGTTCGGTGGGTTTGTACTAGCATTACACTTCGGTTAGTACTTGGGAAAAGCTCTGTGGTGAAATGTGGTTCCTTGTGTTTGTCTTCTAATTTGTGCATGTGTGATAAAATGTTCACATTTCAATGCACATTACGGATGGTGGGGGAAATAAAAAGTCTTCATTGTTTGAAAAACTGGTTCTTGATATAGTGAGTTACTCTACTGAAACTGAACTTCAGGTCAAACTAAGCTTGTCCTGGATCTGTTGTTGCATATGTTTAGGATATGAATGAGGCTGTTTGGCTTTATCGTGTTTTCTAAATAGAATTCCTATTTGATTATTTATTTTCTTAGGAATTTGAAGTAATTGCCCAAATTAAGCTCTTGCAATCTGCATGTAACAGCTATTGCATGACACCAGACCAAAAATTCATCCAGTGGTTCAGGAGACAGCAGCATTTAACTGAGGAGGAGAGGTAGGTTCTCAGTCCAGCTGGCAAAGCAGGCTTTTCTTACCCCACACACACCTGCAGGTAGGTTATGTCAGCCTTTAGCTATCTTCTTACAGGAACTTACATATACTGCTGCTCAAGGAGAGTGGAAATACATCTGCCTTCTGCTAAACAGCTGTAGAAAACCTGTAGAACACTTAGCAGGGTTTAGTTTTGAGATTGGAAATCAGGCTTCTGACTTTGAAATATGATAGTCTGTTGTGTCTGGGCTGTCTGTACACCCAGACACATGCTCAGAAGTTGATCCTAAGGGATGTGAAGATACAATCACTGAGCCTTTGGCTGGTGGATGCGGGCAGCAGGTAGCCAAGGCAACGCAGAGCTCACTGACTGCTCACCAGATAAATGTCTCCCAGGCATTTGGGGTGAGTTTTGCAGCCCTGCCAAGTTCTGTGCTACTGCACGTGCTGCCAGACCAACGCAAGACAATTTATTTTCAGCATTTTAATATATCCACTACGTATCTGAATACCACTTTGCTGCACTGAGTGTAAGCACAGATACATACTGCATTGTACTGAGTCGTAGTAAAAAAAAGTCAGCTTATCCAAGATTCACGTTAAGTATTTTCTTGATTTTTTTTAATAAAATTATGAATGTCATCAAAAAAAGCACTAGTTTTTAAAACTATTATAAAGAAGTGAAATATCCCCTTAACCATGGCAAAATGTAGACAGAGCTATGTTCCTTTTTGTGGGGTTGCAACCTTCTGTGAAGTGGGAATAACTGAACATTTCTTGAATTTCTTGAATATTGCTACTTTGAGATATATAACTAATAGTATTGTCTGTAAAAATTAACCCAGTGGCCTCTGTTCTTCAGTTACAGCCTTTCAAGTGAGGTTGAAGCAGCTGCTGACACTAGCACCACATCACCGAAATCTCGGAAAAGCATGGCGAAGAGGTTCAGCCTGTGAGTACAGCAGGGCAAGGGGCATTTGGTGTGTTAATATGAACCTGAATAAATCAAACAAGCAGTACTCATTTCACCAGCTGAAAAACCTGGCTGGGGATCCAGACCGCTGCATTACTCTAAGGAGACACCATCAGCTAGAAATGCATTCTTCTGTCTGAAGCTGCCCCTTTCTATTGTTATAAGTAGTTATGAGGATTATTAATGATGAAAGACATTAGAAACAAACAAGCCTTCCTAAGGTGTCATAAAAAAGAACCATTTTAGTGCTGGGTTATAAATTCAATATCTATTGTGTAATAACTTGGCTGAATGCAGTAGCAAAACAGTAAATGAGGATAAAGTCTGGCCTATTATTAGTCTAATTTGCTATACATATGCAAAAAATTCCTTGCAGGATTTTAATATGAAAATCTACGTTAGCAAAAAGGCATTTGATAATAGAAACAATCTGCCTAACTGCCTTCAAGTTAGAGAAGTAAAAAAATCATGGGGAGGTGGTCCAATTTAGTCTAATACTGCAAAGATTCAAAGAGGAGGTGGATGAAGAACAGGGCATGCAGCTAAGCACACACAGGAAACAGTATGCTAGCAGGAATTCAGGGCAAGCTGCGGGGAATGAAAGCAGAGATCAAGGATATCTTAAAGGTGAGAAATTTGAACCTGATGGGAGAGGAGATATGAAGGGACTCCCACATACCAGTGGTATGATCAAGACAAGGGGGGAAATGGTTAATTTAACAGCACTATCAGCAATTAACTCTCCTTTCCTGCTTGGTTCTTGTACCTAGTTTCCTCAGAACAGCCAGTAGCCATTCACTTCACGACAGCGCTCCTGCAGGCTAGGATCTGAAGGAAGAATAGATGTTTTGAGTTCTGATACGCAAAAACAATCTGGGCAGCTGTTTGGAAAGTGTTTCGATTAGGCCATCTGAGTTGGTGGTGATACGTTATGAAAATGTGAGCTTTGAAGATGACAGTGAACTCTCGGTGGCCTCTCATTTGTGTCTCCCTTGGCACATACCTAAGCTGTGTGTAAGAATTGTTGCTGCGGAGCACAGGCTTTATTCTCTCATTTCTGACTGCGTTTCAGTGCTGTAGTATTGTAATTTACCATATTGAGTTTGTTTGCACTATGCAGTCTTTGTCTAAGGAATTGTTTCATCTGCACTCCGAATGTATTTTGCAAATTAATACTGTAGAAAAGACTGGCATAATTCATCCCAGAAACAGTGAGTGACACCTCTCTAAATTGTTTTAAATCATTAACTGCATGCTGACATAGCATCTAATTCACCTTGCTTCTCTACGTTACACATTATACAAGTTTGTTTCCTTTGACGCTCCTTTAAGTTTACTTGACCTGCATTTAGAAATGAGTCTTGGAGAGGGAGAGCCTATAATTTACACTTTCTTGTGATCTCCTCATTGTGTACATGTCTGTTTAGACTCTTAGAGAGACATAGGTATCTGTAGCACCTTTATTGAGTGAAAGAATTTGCAGCGGGGATGAATTTGCCTTTTGAAGACCTTTGCCCGGTGTATAACCATGCATTACCTTTCATGCACTGTTACACTTACTCATGGCAACTGAGCAGGTCTTGAGCTGCCTTGTGTCAGAGGGACCAGGGGGTGCGAGCAGTGTGCAGGAGTGCGTAAGGTCAAGCCAGCTGCCGTGCCTCTAATTTGCCCCTCGTCCCTTGGTTTGTAAACGCATTGGGTTTATGATCAATCATTTCCTGGCAAGTGAGTCTGAAAATTTAGCAGACTGAAGAGGGGTCTGGTTTGCGATACTTGGGGATTAGCTCTGTTTTTGGCCTTGCAGCTGGTGGGTACGCTAGGTCAAGATGATATTGTGTTAGTGTGTAACAAACTCTCTTGACAAACTGTATAAACAACATAGAGGAAATGAAAACAATAGGCCGCTCGAGATAGGAAAACAAAACAATACATAAGATTTTTGAACCAAGTGACAGCTTTGCTCAGCCCAGCTCTGTTCTGGTTTCACTTACTGGCTGTTATGCTTTTTTTTCTATACTAGGCTGTTTCTAGGCTCCGAGGTGATCGCCCATAGCACACCCATCAAAGAGCAACCCAAATCTACTCCAGGTGGGAGCTCTGGTGAAAGCACGGACTCGGCCAGTGTTTCATCGTGTGAGTTTAATCACTCTGAATCTGAAGACGTCTCCATCAGTCCCATAGGCACTCCTGATGAGTCTCAGAAAAAGGTACGGTCTGGGCCTTGTTGCCAGCATAAATAGCCTCTGAGAGACTGTCAACACTGCAGGCAGGCCCTAGACGCTTGCCCAAGCCTGTTGGTCTTGACTATAGCATTGCTTTTAATGGAATGGAGAGACTCTAGAAATAAATGTGTAAAAATGGAAGCAGTCCAGTCAGGATTTTTGCACAATCCCTTCTATGCTGCCAAGATACAAGGCAGACTGAAAGTTCTCCTTCCTTGAAACCAGATTTGCTTGTGGTGCCTGGCAGTGGTTTTGGTTTAGGTGAGGCCCTGGAGGAGCACGAGGTTAATTTTTCTTTCAGTCCCTCGTGCTTTTTGAAAGGGATGGGGCAAGCTAGTGGCGTTTCTACCTTTGGAGCCTGTGGGAAGTGGGGTGAGGAGCCTGAGCATTGCACTCGCGGATATCGGTGCTTCTGTCCAGCACATGGCAGCATGATGTTAGCAGTGACATGGACACAAGAGGATTTAGAAGCCCCCACAAACAAAAACAAATGAAACAGGAGACGGGATCAACTGAAGAGGAGTAAGATCAACAGCTAGTCGTTTCCTCCTCGAATATCTTGGGTTTGATGAGTTATTCTGCTGTTAGCAGCCTGCTGCTGTGTCCACCATGCTCAATCAGCAGTATGCATTAGTGACACAGCACTGCAAAATCCTGGGGAAGGCAGAGCAGCTGCAGCTGACCAAGTGATAGGCAGGTAAGGTCAGAGCTTGCCAGCCATGTGGGCTTGACCTCCTGTGAGCTCTGTGCTGCCAAGATGAATACCTTGCCTTGGCTCAGTTTAATTCCACTGGGGAAGTTGGTGTGCGGTGCAGTGCTGCTGCACCTCCTCCTGCATGCCAGCTCACTCTTGGCACACGTAGCCAGTGTCTTACCCAAAGGCGCTGAACCAGCGTGCTAGGAAACCCCTCATTTTGCAGACAAGGCAAAGCCCTACACCCCGCACACCGGCAGCTGGGGCACCCCACAGCAAAATGAGCATAAAGCTGACGCTGCGAGTGTTCATGCTGAGAGCAGATTGACCAGGCGTGTGCTGATACCATCCAGAGACACAAATTTTAAAGACAGGAAACCAGCAGAAGGGATCTGATGGGGGGGATCCACAGGGACTACTTTCCTACAGACTCTTCGCTTTTGAACTATATTGCGTTAACTGTATTGTTGAAACCCTTTTTAGGGATGTTTTGCTGAAGAGTGTTATATTGGGGTTTAGCTTATGGATATTTTAAATTGTACTAAATGTTCTTAAACCAAATGAAACACAAGGTCCCAGACACTGGCATCCATAAATTGTTTAAACTGTTTAGCTGGAGCAGTTGATTTCGGTAAGTCGGAGAGGGAAGATCCTCTCAGCAGTTTTTGAGCAAGGCAGAAGAGAAAGGCTTTTGCCCCTGAGCAGCAGGGGAAGTAAAGAGGCAGTTTCCATCGACGAAAGACTATCAAGGAGAAGTGGCAGAGAGGGAGGCGTATGTGTGTTTTCACCCCCGTCCAGCTCCCCGCGTAAAGGCTCCGACCTGGCGCGGGCGCAGGGTGCCTGCGGCGCGCTCTGCTCCGTCCCGGTCCCGGTCCCGGTCCCGGTCCCGGTCCCGGTCCC